CCTGATGAACAGGGTCAATAAGCCGGAACTACAACACACATTGTCAATTCTGACTGTCTTCACCTATTTTGGTGATGTTACGTAATAGGGGTTAAAAATATTCTCTACACACTTTTGTTCTTTGTTAAGACCAGTTGGTGTTTATTTCTAAAAGTAGTGCTAATCAAAGATATTGATTCTCTATTAACAAAAGAATGACTGATCACCACTAGATTGATTATAAGTCTAATTATACCCTTGGGATAGTATCAGTTGATAGGCCATGTAAAAGAAAATCAACATTTATGGCATGTCTGTTGGTTTCATGTAATGCATTCTCAAGGGAAGTCACAGGAAATGAGACACCTTTACCACAGATGTCAGATATGTATCTATCTATAGCCGTAGCTATTCATGAATGTTAGAATATCCCTTTGGTTCTGTTGAGATTGACCTTCATATGATGGGTCCCATGCAAATTGTTAGAACACGTGGCATAAGAGGTTTCAGTTGTTTTTGTTGAATTGGCCATTACAATACCCATAAAACTAACTATTGCCAGAACTACCTGCGACGGATGGAATTTGTTGGATCAGTGAAAATTATGGACTGGCCCCCTCAATGTCCGGACCTCAACCCCTTCGAGCAAATTTGGGGAGAAAATTAACTGGACAGATCTATTGTACATTCAAAGGAAAGCCTTTGGCTTGAGTAGCAGAAGGCATGGGATAACATTAGTGTTGAAGTTCTCAGGAAACATATTGACACTATGCCAGAGAGATGTGCTGCTGTATTTGCTGCAAAAGGTGGACATACCAAATATTAAAGTTAAAAGTGGATGAAAATAGTACGACTCTCTTCATCTGATATTTGTTGTGCTCGGAGCAACCATCTGGATGTTTCATGAATATTATAAAATGAAATCATGTTTTGGAGGCAGGAAAGGTCAATATTTTCAGATCTGTCAGGTGTTCTAATAATTTTGGCCACCACCGTATTTTTAATTTACGGTGGTATATATATATATATATATAAATTAAAAATACAGTGGTATATATATATGCACTAGCATTCAAAGATTTTTTTGAAAGAATTTTGATTGATTGATTAGATAGATAGATAGATAGATAGATAGATTGTATACAATGACAGACCGACAGACCGACAGATAGATAGATAGATAGATAGATAGATAGATTTTATACAATGACAGACCGACAGATAGATAGATAGATAGATAGATTGTATACAATGACAGACCGACAGATAGATAGATAGATTTTTGAGTTATCTGTTCCTTTAAGATCTGTAAGGACTGACTCTGACTTTCCTGCCTTTTAAACAGCCTCTGTATTCTATTTTTTCCCAGTCTTTTTCTTCTGTCCTTTCATTCCTCTTTTGAGTCGAGTCAAGGCTCCTCAAACATCCTCTCAGAATTTCTTTTTGTTTCTGTCTTTTCTCTTTCTCCCACTCTTTCAGTCTTCCAGGCTCAGAATCACTCAGCGTCCAACAGATCTGGGAGAGAATAAAAGAGTTGGTCTCTGCTTTCTCTTTCTGTATCCTGGAGGAGAAGTCTGATGGAGCAAGGGAATGATCGGAAAGAGAGAGGGGGAGTGTGGGGGTGGGGGTTAGCAGGCTAAATGGACTAGCGAAGCACATTAGAGCTAATGGATGAAGCCTGTGGGGTCAGATCATTCAGTACAGCTCCTGGACCCCCCTACATGTGTGCTAATGCAGCACACTGGTCCAGAGACCTGGGCTGAATCCCAATCCGCTAACTTATACTACGCACTACAAGTATGCCCTTGTGATAAGTACACTCTAGCATACTTTTAAAAAGAGTAGTTATTACAGAAATAATATACTTTAAAAATATAAATACTTATATCCAAACTGCATATGATGGTTTCAGCAGTTTTAGCTAAGCATTTATTTCATGTTGAACAGTTTGTTTTTCTTTGCTTGGATTTCTGTGTCAGCTTTGATTTCATCCACCTTTGAGTTGGATCTAATGTCTTCTCAGAGCAATACTTGACATGTTTCAAACCAAAATAAAAGACTGTTTTTGACTCAAGCCAGGTAATCTTAGGTCAGTGTTTTCACTATACTATGTTTTCCACCAGACGAATGATCTTAAAATAAGAAGCTAAATTGTGTTCCAGAGGTGAGCCACCTTTCCAAGCAACATGTTAATATTTCATAGAGAAACCTGGTGGATGGATGCCTTCACGGGAAATAGAAAATGAAAAGAAGAAAGAATATAAAGTAGAAGATACTGTGGCAGACACATCCTGTTTGGAGTCATTTTAAGGTATGAAAAACATCTGTTTAAGTTTAACATTTAATGAGCGATCCTAATATTTTAAAAATGATTACACTACAGGGCCATGCTTGCATCTGATTAGCTGACGAACGTTCTAAGATGTGCAATTATTTTCAGGGGAAACACACGGAAAATTTGTTCCAGACAGGTCTTGACCACATTACCAATCGCCAAACGATTTCAGTTATTTCGCGAGGATCTTTCAGCCTAAAACAGCAAAAGAACCAAAACCCACAACGACACTGATCAAGCAAATAAATATAGTAAACAATATTATAAAAAAGACTCATTATTTCCGTGCTTTTGCCACAAAATCACGTTTTATTTTGTACGCAAATCATACTCTATTTCTCCTGCTCTCGCTCACAAATGCACACACATAGTACAGACACACAGCGCTGCTCTGACGATTATTATCAGTAAAATAATTTAGCAACGTAAAAGCTAAATGTCATTTCTCACTAATAACGGTGCTGTTCTTGAAGCAGATGAACTTGCAGTTTCGATATTAGAAACCATGATGCCGAACACTGCTGAGAGACGCACAGACTCAAAGAGGTAATTCAAACATGCTTAATCTCTCTCTCTCTCTGTCTAAGATTATAAACAGATCAAGCCTCCATTACTAGGTCTAAAAGTATGTATTGGAATTAGTAACAGAGGTGTTGGATGAGATGTGTAAGAAATTAATCCAAGCGTTTTAAGGACAAAAATCTGATGAATGCATCACCACCTCGGTGTGCATTATTTTCTAATAATTCAATGGCCCGTCGTCAATTATTCCTTACTTAGGAGAGCGCGGGGCACAAACTAACATGGGGTTAGTTGTAACACACATGGTTTAAATATTTCCACACATGCTAGCATAACCAAAATTACATATTTACTAGTTGCCATATCAACACTATATAGAGGGGGGAAAAAGTGCCACAAAATTCAAAATATTTTTGATGATATTGCTGAATATTTATTTTACCATAGCAAAAGTAATGGCTGAAGTTACATTTTTCATCTCAGTTTTTAGTATTAATTTAAAATTAGACAAATCTGCTATTATTTTAATCTCCAATCTGTCATTCATCAGTTTAGAAGACACTAACCAGTTTTAAATTCCAGTTGCGCATGTTACAATGTGCCCGGCTATTATTAAACTATGCTATTCTATGACATTAGCGATGTAATTTACACTAATTACTTTTATGAATTTCAATGAGAAACCATGACAAACAGGTGAATAAAGATTGACAGTCAATGTTTAATGTTCAGAAATTATTATTTCAAGAAATGTAAAGCCTTTTGGCTCGTTTATGTGTCTCCTGTTCTCTGAGAGCTGTGTGTGGGGGGAGGGGATTCTATCTCTGTGTTTTTCTGAATGTCTGAATGTGTTTCTTCATCTATTTGCCCACATTGTTTTGAACAATACTGTATAGCTGTGTCTTGCGATCAGGGCCATCCCAAGCATGGTTGCAATGTGTTCATTTTCAAACTCCAAAAATAGATTATTTTTCATTCTTAAGAAATGCCATTATTTTATTTGAAAAAGTTAATAATTTTATATTATTGACAAAATATTTTAGTTTGTCTTGTGTGTTTTTCCATTAGATCAGATAACATTTTAAGCTGTCATATGGTCATGTTACAATGTGCCTCTCAGATGCACCCCACCTATGGGGCATGTTGTCACATTTCACATCCATCCATATATTATCTATCTATCTATCTGAGTCTTATTTCACATGTTTGGCCCTCTGCAGATTGCTGTGATTTTTCACTTCAGTGATCAGTTCATTCTATGCTGGAGGGCTGAAAGAATTTTGAGGCATCTGGATTGTGGGTTTCTGGGTATTTTTGTGCACAGTTGTATATGTGTTTGTGTGTACAGTGCTGCTGTCCGTGGGGTAAAATGTTCTCCTAATCCTTCAGAAAACTGGAATCAACTGCACTTTCATTTCATAGCTGAGAGCAATGGTCTGGATTACCGCCAGCTGATGAGATGACAGTGAAGGCAATATGAAATACAGTCGATGCTCACCTACCACATGCATAGAGCTGATATGACAATATATTCACAACAGAATAGTCATATAATTGTTTAAATGTGCACTTTTTAATGGTTTCAAACAATATACCGTGTGAAAATCTCAATAGATATAAATTGACTTGACATGACTTTATTTTCCTGTAGGGGGTGTGTTCATATTGCAGTTTGGACATGACCAAATGATGCACTGCTTAAGTGTGCGGTGTATTATTTAGAACTATTATACAATCAATGGTGGCACTACTTAAAGATTGTAGATATACGTCAAACAGGCTTGAATACCCTTTAATTATAGTCTAGAGGTTAAATGCTTCCTACACAAATAACCATTTTAAAGGTCACTTCAGCTACTTAAGCTCTCCTAGTGTGTATGCTGAGTGTTACTTTAGATGCAGAGCATGTGTGAAAGTCAGGACCTCTTTACAATCACAACAACATTAGCATAAGATATAGAACATCTGCTGGACATAATCCCTGTAGTTGCTGCAACAATACCTTTTTTTTTAAACGGGACAAATATATATTTAGTTACTTTGGTTGAAAGAATGATTTTTAAGGTAATTTGTTCTTTTTAGATTAGAGTTTTTTTCTGTAGCTTGAAAAAAAAATAATGCGCACAGATGTCATTTAAAATGTAAAAGCTTTTATTTATATTCCAAAATACAAAGTAAAAATATAGAAAACAAAATATTTTTTATTCAATGGCTCAGGAAACACAGTAACTTTATACAAGTATTCAGAATACAAACTCAACAACAAGTGATGGAAATTAGAAATTAGTTAGCTTAAAATCTCTTCATGTAGACCAGTGAGGGAAGGATTCACATTTCAAAAATAGTTCATATCTTGTAAAGCTTATTCCTATGACAGTAGATTCGCACTTGACCTGCTCCACTAGAGTACTCATGTAGCAAACCTGAGAATGACTATTTACTATCAACGTTAAGTAATATTAGGTATCTGTTCCAGGATCACTCCTATTCATGCGTGTAAAGTGAGAGCAGGCTGGACCTGCATAATCTGTGATGGTTTACTGTTGTCTATGCTTCTTTCCTGTAAGAAAAGAGAAAAAATAATGTTTTGTTATACATGTTGTTTCATGTAATGTTTTGTTTATGTTCTAAATGTTATTTTATGTGATTTGTTATGTTCAAAATGTTATTTCATGTGATGTGTTTTATGTTATATGTTATGTTGTTATGTTATGTTATGTTATGTTATGTTATGTTCTAAATGTTACTTTATGTCATTTGTTGTTTAATGTTATGTTATGTTAAATTGTAATGTGTTCTAAATGTTATATTTTTGTTTTGTTTTATACTATGGCATTGTGTTATTGTTACATTGTCTTCTAAATGTTACATTCTAAGTGTTATTTTGTTATAAGTGTTATTATTATGTTGCTGTGTTGTGTTCTAAATGTTATATTATGTGTTTATGTAATGTTATGTTATGCAGTGTTGTGTTCAAAATGTTATACTGTGTTGTGTTTTAGTTTATGTTGTTGTTGCAATGTTAAGAGTTCTAAATGTTATGCTGTTACCTAAATATATCATTTTATGTTATGTTATGTTATGTTATGTTATGTTATATGTTATATGTTGTTATGTTCTAAATGTTATTGTTAAAGTATGTGTTCTAAATGTTCTGTTCTAAATTTTATGTTGCATTTTAAGTGTTAAAATAGGCTGCTATGTGTTGTGTTCTAAATGTTATATTATGTTTTGTTTTATGTTATGGTATGTTGCTATGTTACGTTATGGTGTTCTAAATGTTGTGTTGTTTTTATATTATTTTCTAAACATTACTGTGACTTTATGTGTTCAAAATGCTGCCATCTTCTATATTATTTTTGTTGTGTTATATTATGTTGTAAATGTTGCTACATTATCTCTTCTAAATGTTATGCTGTGTTTGAAGTGTTATAAGATGTTGCTAGGTGTTGTATTCTAAATGTTATCTTATGTTATGCAAACAGAATTTAAAAGCATGCATGTACATTTATATTTTTTAAGTACCAAGACTTGATGAAATACCTACAAACACGTACCTCTAGGTTTTTTGGGTAGAGGTCCTGCTAGTATGTAGTCGATCAGTTTGCTCACCCAGTTATTCTTACTTGGAAACGGTGCACAGAGCTTCAATCCCTTCTTTGTGACAAATCTGTGGAAATGCATTCATATTTAAATATGCAAACTCAAATACACCTTGAAGTCTGCAGCACTTTGGAGGCATTTTGAAATGCGTGTAATGCGACTTACATAGTGGCAGGAATTCTGCAGGCTTCATCACCGGTCTGAATGGTGAAGGACGTCACCACCCTCTGTGGGATGCGCCGGTCGCTGGTGGTTAAACAACAATCCGCTGCCCCATCGTTCAGAGCTGTGAAAGTTAAACAGTGCACAGAATGTTAACCATTGGCAGCATCAACAGTCTCACCTAAAAAAAAAATAATGTACAGAAAGACTGCAGAATGTAAAGTAAAAGAATATTGTATGCATATTGTACAAAACACTGTACATTTTATCAATTATTACTTTTTAAACTTCAAATAAATTTCAAAACAGATTAGTTTAAAACTCTTGCAGAAGGATGTTGCTAAATAATTGTACATTTTGACTCACCTGTTGTACAGCTCCATAGACTGACGCTCAATATGAGCAGAGCACCTGTCCATAATGTCAGAGCGTTAGAGAACATCATCTTGTCCCTCTGTATGTGTTCGTTCACCTGTGCTCAGCAGATATGTGCCTCACCGCTGCTTGCACGCCCTTTATACGCTTCTGCAAAAACTTTCACTTTCTTTATGCTTTAAGGCAACTGTTTCCTGTAAATCCATCCCTATTAAAAGAGCCCTTTCACCTTCTTTTGTTAACTGGAAATGGTGGCGCCTGCCAGGGGATCCTTCATGTGGACTGGAGGGATAGTTTCGACATGTTTTCTGGGCTTTTGAAATGTGCTTATCAGTGTCACTGCCTCATGAGAAACAAATGCGGTGAAAGTAAAGTCGTATTAGCCAATGTCACTCATAGCTGGAGGGAACAGGTTGCACATACAAGTGGCTTTGGGACAAATTAGATGTTTCTTAGATTAAGTGCTAATAGAAGTGTGAAATAACTCATTTTTAGATTTTGTGTGCGTTTTAATCAGAAGTGTCCCCACTGATTTTTGAGTGAATTAAAGTACATAAAATAAAATAAAATAAAATATTTAAATCCCTTTACAAAAAAAGTGCCTGCAGCTGTGGACTGAATTCACAATTGCTCAAGTGTCCACACTGACTTGTGAGTGGGTTCAAATACTTTAAAATTAAATTACCTTATATAAATAAATAAATAATATTTATTGGAACTCTTTTGTCCTTAGTTCTTTTTGTACCAGCAAACTGTCTACCAGGGTTAAAAGACCTGGGGCTTATTTATTTTATGTTAAAATGTCTCTTCTACCCTTAACTGCCTTGGAGATGTAACATAAATGTGGGAGCTCATCCGGGATTAAAAATAAAATAAAAATTAAATATTCAAAACCCCTAAAAAAAAAACTGCACTGAGATTTGCAACTGCTCTTATCTGCATATATCTATTCTAGCCAATCAATGTCTGCAGTATGTGAGTAACCTTATAAACACACTTTGCATATGGTACACCAGTTATAGTCATCATGGTTATGATAATGACCATTTTATGACTCTTTTATGTAACATATTAACTCTTATGAAAGGAACATATTTAATATGAAAGCTGACAAATCCTCACCAAACCACAAGTTGTTTGACTGACAGCACTGCTAATGTGTGGGTTAATGTGTTTTTTGGTTGTAACCCAACATAAAAGCTGCATGAACATGTACCTGCTGTTGCCTACAGGTAAGCAATTCCAATTCATGTTTTTGGAAGATAATGATGTAACTTGCTTAGTATTTTTTTATAGCATTGCTGACTACCTGTATTTTTATGCTACTGTTAGAATTACCATTCATTTACAGATCTACATTTCTCTCAGAGCAGCTGAAGTGTGGACAGAAATGGCCTGTGTTCCTGTGTTTTGGCAATACTGCAGCGTTATGTTTCAGGCGTGCATCTACATGTGGATGCTAAATATATGCATGGAATACAGCCAGCAAAATGTCTGAAGGCCTCAGTGTTAATTGTGCAGAACTAAAGTCTGTTTAAAAAAACAAAAATGCCCATATCCTGAAATCCTGCTCGATTAAAACTTCCTCAAGAACTGTATCTCCACACACAGTCTGGTCTTCATTCTGTGCTGTAAATCTGAGTGTATCTTTTAAGCTCTAATAAAACATGAAGAGGGGAGCAGATGACTTTGATCCGCTACTGAGTTCAAGCAGTTTGATTTCTAACTACAGCTGCATTCAGTTTTCACTCATTACTTCAAGACTGTCAGGGAATGAGCCACATGCCGTGTCACTTCCTATATGATGGCTCACTTCCACCTGGGCCGCAGTAACTTCAGCAGGTCCAGAGGTAATCAAGCAGTAATCAAGCTGCTTTGTCTCATACGGAGGTGATAATGAAATTACAGACAATCAAGACTAATTGAAGGCTAGTCAAAATTTCTCGAGGAGCATTTTTTTTGTGCATGTTACAGCACCACATTTTTTTTAATT